CGTGCCATGCACTCCTTTCAATTTTTGATCCAACCTATGTTTCCTATTACCTCCATAGTAAAAGATATAAATAAACGTGACGCTAGTGGTTTCCCCTGGGACGACTAGGTATCGTTGGCTTTCCAGAGGCACCTCCAAGTTCTTACCGACATGTAGCCCCATGAATATTTTATGGACAGAGAGGATGCCATACATAAGAGGAAGGGTGAAAAAAAAAGATGAAGGCTTTTTAGGTGAATTCCACCTCTCGGAATGATTTTTTTCCCTCCGATACTCTCAATTCCGAAAGTATCACGAATAAACTGGGGGGATGAAAGTTCATCTCGCCACTTCATTCATTTCATAGGGCTTCGGCTCCTGACTGCTGTCCTTTTTTAATTATATAGGCAATTTGAAGCTGTGGAGATTACGCATTCCTTTGAAGTATTTTCAGGCACTGCCAAAAGGTCACTATATTATCATTTATATGAAATCCTTTGGATCAACCCTATGCATAGTCATCCTTCTGTCTTGTGTATTTTTTTTTCCTCCACTCTCGGTGACCTACATATTTTTCAACCTTTTTTTACATCGGAATTTTCCATTTTCCATTTTCCATTTTGTCCCGAATTTTTTTTTAATGAATTTTCGAGGGCTCGAGTCATTGGCAATTCATCCTGATTCCATTTTATTTTATTGTCCATTCACAATAAGTAATTCTAATGTACATTTTGGAGAGGATATGACGGTTAGTTAACTCCCGACTGATATTTCCAAAGTGAAATCTCGAGTCTTCCAATATTAACCATAATCTGTCCGTAGTTTCCAACGATAAATGAATAACAGATACATATGTAGATATTTCTCCCTCGACAAGAGAACCAGAACGTTGGAATAATCTGCTGGTGCACTGCATCATTCATGCGATATCGTACACGTGAAATACGTACACGTAAAGTCATTTTGAATAATGGGGATGTACAGTACCAAGTAGCACAGTCAGATGTAACATCAAGCAGACACTGTAGACAAGTTGTAACGTCGAGGAATCTTATGTTAAAACAAGAAATACATCCAGTACAGAATGTACAGCCTGATCATGTCAATGCCGGCTGTCTCTCAATGAGCCACTGAATTAACAAATTACCATAATTTATTCTTCCCCACCCATCCAGACACGCAACGCCAATTAATGATTCAAATGAAAAGATATTTTTTTTTCAAAATATCTTGAAATAAAAAAAAAGAAAAATTTCGTACAGTCGTAGGTCGATGGAATTATAAAATTCATCTATGAATTTTATTATTTTTCATTGATTGATGTAATTGGTAATCGATTAGGAGACGAAGATGAAGTTATCCCGGTTTTTCTGGAGAGATTCATCAGGATGTCAATGGATTTCAATCCTATCTTCTCCTCTGCTTTCGGAAATACCTCCGACTGCTTTTCCCTCGATACGTGACGCTAAAGCCTGTAAAGAGGTGTGAAGGAAAAAATGAAACAGATATAGGGGAAAGAGAAAAAATAGAATCTATGGGAGTTGGCGTTGGATAAGCGCTGAAGGAAATTATTCAAATCCAGGGAAAGTTCCCTGGAGATAGTGAGTTGCTTTATTCCTGGGATCCTCTGATATGCCTGTGGAAATGGTACTGACGGGAGTCAAAGAGTCAAAGAGTGGACGTCAAAGGGTGTGGAAACGAAAATCGAATGTAAAAGACAAGTAAGGGATGATCGGAGTGGATAAGACGCATTCTGGATTGTTTTAAATAATCCACACTCTGATAAATAATTTATTTATGCTAATTTATGCTGTGGATTAAATTCATTTGTTATTTAGAATTTTAACGAGACGATTTGTCGAGTCTTATGGAATTTCAGGTTGATCCCTCACTTTTGGGAGAAATTTCTGTAATAGTACTTACCATTGTGCTCTTATGAGAAGATGAATAATTGAACCATCCCATTATAAGCCCCTTTCTCCGGTATTTTGAAAACGGAATTTACTCGGGCTCTGCATCTCCGAATTCTCACTGGTATACAGGCGCTTGTAATGAGCATCAATCTAAATCCTGGGTGATTCTCCATATACCTCTGGCTGTGGGTTGCGGAATTTATTACAGCAATCAGACACGAGTGCTTTCGATTTTAATTGAAGTTTCGAAATCAATAGACGTACTGTATTCGCTACAAAGTGGAGCCTCGGAATAGTTTAGAGACGAAAAACTCGTAATCGTGAAATACGCGGTTTCATTGAATACGAGAGGGACTTTGAAAATTGGAAATTAAAATAATCACTGAATTCTCTCGACTTGAAAGAAAAAGCTTGTTGCATTGTCCAAATTTTTTTGGAGTTTCATTTCAGAAATGAAATATTAAAAATAATGTTTACGCACATCTACATATATTATTGATCATTGTCTCATGGTATACATGTATGTACAGAAAATTTATAATCCATAATTCTTAGTCTATGAACAAAAAAAATCAGCATTTGGTCGATGCGAGAGGAATAATTGGTGCCTACGGATTTGGTTAAAAATTTATCAATCGTCATCTACTGAAAATCTTTGGGTTAAACATCGATATGATACAAGATTAGATAAGATGGATAATCTAGTGATTACAAAAAGAGACTTCAATGCAAGGTAATTCATGATTTAATGGATGGCACGAGTACAATCGACATAACACATGCGGAGAAAGTTCTGATATTTTGGCACTTCTCACATCGCACTTATTTACATAAACAATTAATCCTCTAATTTTCATAATCATCATTCTCATCCATCGTAATCTGGAAAAATTCATAACGGCCGGCTGTTCAATTCTCGATACAATTAAGCTATGTCAAATTCCAAATAACGTATAAATAATTCTTTATACATAAACTCAACCGAAGTTTATACATTGAGCTATTTACAATTTCACTCCGTGTCATTCAATTATATTTATATTACCTAGTATATTGAAATATCGGTATTAGGCGAAAAATAGCAAATAAATTATTTCATCGGTAATAAAACGTCTCAGCTTCGCATCAGTCGTTAATTCCATTGATCAATTAATTCAATTTTATCCCAACTCATTCATCTTTGAGCACCAAAAGATTTATCCTCTCACTTCACGCATTATATATTCCATTAAAAATCTATATGCGCTCTCAAAAATTCCGAATGCCATCGAACATCCGGTAAAACTGCAATAAATTTTCTAAAGAAAAGCGCCTAGATTTTTAAATAAATATCTCACACGTTTCAATAGCGTTTTCACCTCATCACTCATGCAAAACTTTCTTATGTATACATTTCGATATAATAATACATTAAATGTAAGCAATTAATAATACTTTCAACTTTGTTATTTCAATTCACAGTCCGGCGTCTGTACCAGGATAAGTATTATAAAAAAAAAATAAAAATAATACACACACCTCTGTAGGCAACATCTGGCTCGCCGGCCTCTCTTTAATATCACGTAGGAAACTTTGAAATTTTCTTTATTTCTCTCAATTTATTAATCTCATTCTCCCTTATTTTTTATCTCTCGCTCGTCTCGTCGTAAATTACGGATATGCTAGAAGGTAATAATTGTTGGTTTCTCTGTTATCTCGAGTGTTTTATCTCTCATTCCATCGCGTTTTTGGAGTTGTTGTTTGGCTCGTCCTCGTGTTATATTCGGCATGTTTGCACGCAATTCCTTTGCTATTTATACAATTTCATGATTACCCCGGGGATATGCCGGAGAAAAATGTCGAGATACTTTTTTTTTATTCATGTTCATTCATCACTTCGTTCTCCTCATTTCCTCCCTGTCTCCATTTTCAGTGCAATGTTTGAAATTTTTTTAATTCCTGTAACGCCTGCATTTTAATTCGCGAGGTAAATTGTCAATCAATTGTGAATGATAAAGCTCATGGAAATTGTTGAAGTAAATCCACAGAGACAAAAAATTCAGCAATTTCAAATATTATTCAAAAATGAATAAATTTCATGAATTTTTTATTCCGGGAATGATCTGTTTTAAAATAATCAATCTTTCTGCAGTATTAAACATTTTTTTTATCCTTGTGGATTTTACTGGGAATTTCAAGAGCAATTTTCTAACAGCACATGACGATAAACCGCGAAATTTCTGGATGATAAAAATGGCAATAGCTATCGAGCGTCAACATTTTCACAGGAGGATCGATAAACATGCATGCATGATCAATTTAATCTCGCTACACTCGCGGATTATGGGTGACACTCTCGCCTCAGGATCGATTCTTCCCCATCGCCTGGTATTCACTCGGGTAATTACCCGTCTGACATTATTAAAACAGTGATTTATGGTAGTTATGATGGCTGAATAAATCATCAATACTTCCGAATAAACATGGACTCAATATTTGATTACCTCATTAACATATCAATTTCACCAATTAAAATCATAATTCGATGAGAATATTTACATAACCGTGGGGTTTTATTTTCCAATAGAAAACATGCCGTTTTAATTAAGCTGCTCACCAAAAATGTCCGATATTTTACCACAAAACGGAATAAACATCAACTTTAATTTCAATATATAAAAAGTAAAAATATCTCGAATGACCGTGAGGGTAAGACCCATAAAATTCCTAGAATTCAACAAATGGCGAAAATTTCGCTAGAAACATTAACTAACCCAAGCCCGGGGTACATGAAAATAAATAAAAAAAATGGAGACGAATAAAAAGGGTGAGATGGGTGAAGTATTCTGCGGTGGGTGCGGTATGAATCAGATGAAATTCACGTATCGGTGGGTGGTTGTTATATGCAGCAATGGACAACACCCGCTGCGCTATTTTATGCTTATTAATCGTAATGCGTGTCACGGGTACGGCTCGATACGCTTTATACCATTAAAATGGTCGCATCATCGTCGTAACCATCGTCGCCGTGGTCACCTACTCGCCACAATCCACTCCTCTTTCTCCCTCCAAAAACCCCCACAACCCCCTTTCACACCGAACCACCCCCTGCCCCCCGTCACCCCCTGCTACTCTCTGTACCGATATGCATGCATATAACAACGTCATCGTTGCAGTATCTCTGTTACGCTTGGCTTAACGTGGACTGTGCTCTGCTTACGCATCGCTTAACATAATCCCCCATTCGGTGTCTAGATTACGCAGTGATACCTTCCCCAAAAATGCGGAATTATTTAGCCCTCGACGGTATGAATTCATTCTCATTCATCTGCACCGAGAAAAAAAAATTCTCATGAAATCATATAAAAAATGGGGACCGATAATTGTGCATTATTTGGGATTTTATGGTATGAATTGATTATGGGCATCTGCATTGACGGGAATTTGGGGAAAAATCACGTGGAGATGGTGAAAGATATTTTAATGAACGTCAACTGTCAATTCTCAAGACTGTGGAGAAGAATTATGAATTATTCACCCCTCGGTGGCATGAATTAATTGTCATCGGTGTTGGGAAGAAATTCATGGCGAAATCCTGCGGTTAATAAATAAAATTCTTCAAACATTAATGACCGCTCATCATAAAAAATCGCAATTAACTAAAATCCTCTAGAATTATCACGGAACATTCAAATAATTGTAAAAAAATAATAAAAAATGAATTGAAAAGAAATACTCTACCTCGGTGTGGATGAATGTCGGCAGAATTTTTGAAAATAATTTCTCTCCACTGACAGATCCTCTGAAAAAATATTTCCCAATGGTCCAAAGGCGAACGCCAATTTTCCACAGTAAAAAACATTAATCAACCGTCTTTCAATAATTTTATAGCCATTCTTCGGAGGTATTTGTAACCGTCGGTGATGCCTCCCTGGGAAACGGCGTGCATCCCAGGGCCACAGACCGCCACAAACCGCCACAAACCGCTGCTAAATTTCCCTGAATTTTCCCTCTCCCCCCGTTAATGAATATTTGCTGGTCCAGGGTAATCAGGGCACCCAGTGGTGCGACCAACGACACTCAGTGGATTTAGTTGTGGCATTCCCTTGATATTTTCACTGGAGATCCATAAATAAATAATCCACTGGTGAATTTGTATTCGTTATGCGGTGATGCAGGTTATCTCGGGTCCTTTATTCTCTCGTTATTTCACCATCATCCATCACAAGGTGGGAGACAGGTAGATAGATTTGTTTGTCAGGACACGAGGAGCCACTCTCAATCCTTTAATTCGCGTGCTGGAGCACGTAGGGGGGTATGTAGGGACCAGTCAATATGTACTGCACCGCCACAACCATCAGCTGGGGTGCGCTCCATCTTATAATGTAGGCACTTCCTGGAAACACAAATAATGCATTTTTCTTGTTACCCTGGAATTCGTCTTCTGGTACATGAAATGTGGTGTGCCGAGGACCGCGGTGGGTGGGCCAGGGAGAGAGGAGACAATGGATTTATGGAGTCTCAGGGAGATACCTCTCGAGAGGGTCGTCCTAACTCTTCACCGGGTAAAATCATTTTTTTCTTTTTTTATCTAGAAAATTTTTTTCAAGAAAATTCCGCATTTTAGAATTCTTCATTCGTGGGCAGTTTTAATTAATGAGCAGTAATAATTTGGTCGCTGATCGAATCACTCGGGGGAAATCGCCACTGCTATTTTCCATTAAATTATTTTGTTAATGGAAAATCGATGGTGATGGAAAATCGAAGAATAATGGAGAATTATAATGGTTATTGAGATGCTCCCGCAGTCTTGCAAGGAATTATTTTTGTATTTAGGGCAAATTGTTGAAAAGTTTCGTTTGTAATCATCTTCGCTTGAAACTCGGAGAACTGAAGTTTTCATTGATTAATTGGATAGGCTCTAATGAGCATCTTCACGTGAACTTTGCCTTGGAGAATACAGGGATCACCATTAATGTATTCGGAATTGAGAGAACCGACAAACTTCCGAGCTGTTATTAAAAACTCTGGGATGAGTATAAATTTGTTATTGAACCTTAAATAATGGATGGCCGGTGGAAATATTTTCAGAGGTCAAACTATACTTGACTTGACGATGGAATAATTCAATAGGCCAATGGCTGACGATAGCTTCTCTAAGTTGTCTCCAACTGATATTCTCTCCCGTTCATATCGACTGAATAATTACGATATTCTCGATTGCGCACATCGAGACATGAGTTCGATGATTTTTACTCAACCTCAAACACCATCCTCCATCTGCAAATACTCGGTGCAAAAAAAGAAAATTATTATTGAATCACAGAAAACCCCGGGAGATTCAAGTGGAAATTTCGAGGACTTGAATGGTCAGACGAAGTTGAGACATTGGGCAGTGAAAATTCGAAAAAAAAAAATCCAGAGTCTCGGAAAAAAGGCATTGCCTCAATTTAATGTTCTGAACCTTTCTGACCAAAATAACTCATTGCAATGCAGTTGAAAAATGGAGTGAAGAGCGTAACACGAATTTTTTATCTGCGGAATGAAAAATGTTTGAGGTTGACACTCGAGATAAACTCTGCCTTAATCATATCCCCGGTATTCCTGTCTGTATAAAGGACCGTGGGGTTGAGGGGGTGAAGACAGGAGGGTGGCATAGTGTGGTGAGTACGAGGGTGAAACGTTAGAATATTTAACTTTAGGGCGCCTAAGGACGTCGCACCAAGTGGTTAAGGCAGTTTTGTGGTACGACGAGCGCACTCGACAACGACAAGTGGGTGAGGAATGAGGATGGGGTATTTAATATCGAATGAAATTATGAGGCAGGGTCGAAGCGTGAAATATCGCAAGAATGCCCTTTTGAGGGAGAAAAAAGGGATAGTAATGCATCAGGCGAGTGCATATTGCAGGTAGCGTGTTGCTCCTCTGTGGAATGATATTTAAACTTGTTGGAGCAAGATTCTTCGGGATTTTTTTTTTATACTTCGTAGAGAGGAGTGATGTCTCGTTTTCTGGTGGAATAATTTGTCGAGTGTGACTCGTTTCTGCTACTATTCACTTGAGTCGTCGTGGATAGAGTGATTCCGCCTCGGGACGCTCCACGGTCTCGGGGCAATTTGCATTCAAGATAAATCTGCTGTTTCGGGGCTTTTTTTTCTCCCCTTTCGGTTTGACGTGTGAAGGAATTCCCGGTGCGATGGCGGGGCAGGGGGTGGTATGGAGGTGCAATGATAAAAATTCCCGTCTCCATTTTCACGGGTTTTTTGCTATCCCGGAATTTTTTCAAGAGTGCAAATGCACATCCAGAGAAAAAATCATTCAAGTATGTTTTATTCTTATTAAGTAGATCATTCGGTTTATTGTCTACCGGTGTATATCTGTATTTTGTTAGGGGTCGAGTAGGTGCAATTTTCATTTCTAACTCCCCAGTAATTGCATACGCAACGAGGCAGGTCTGCCTCAGTATAGTGTACCTATTCGAGCTGTTATACCATTTTCCCTGAAATACCGGTTATACACTTCGCCTCAAAACTATTGTTGCATTTTCACAATGAAATGGATAGCAATAAGTTTTACGAGTATCGCAGCGCTTTCTTTTCCTTTCTTTTCCGCGGGCTTTTCAATTTAAACCGAGAATATTAATGAAATTTTTCTTATTATCACGCCACCTTAAAAATTATACAGCCGGAGGGAATAAAATATTTTCTCTACCCCCTCTTTCACATATTTTTTTGGTATATCAAACGATATGCCCTGTCTTTTGAGCTGCAAAAGCTGGCCGTGAAAAAAAAAATCGGTTAAAAAAATCCAATGAAGAAAGATGCTCACACCCTGGTGAAGGACTCCTAAAAACCCAAGACGAAAGTCAGGTAAGCCCCGAGGAAAACCAAATGATATAACCAGCATGGACGATGGGGGGTACAGAGGAAGGGTATTCTTGACCCGACCCAGAGCGTTCTCCAGTAGACGGTTCAGCAAAGCTATGGAGGGCTTATCTCATCCCCTGTTCACCCTCACAACCCTCTCCATCCCCTCACCAAGAGCTTATCTCCAGGGTAGAAGACCCGCCGACATTTCTGCTCGCCTGTAAGAACTAGGACAGACGACCATTGGACACAAACGCAGAGTCTTCTGCATTATGCGAGAATGCGATAAAAAGGTACGACCAAGAGAGGGAAAATTTGCTGAATCTTCTTCTGGATTTAAGGAGTGAAATGTAAGAAATTAATCTAGATACAGAGAACGAGATAAGAAAGCATCTCCGGTTTGCTTTAATGAAGAATATTTTAGGGAATTATTTTTTTTCGTCTTATGGATGTTTTTTTCTCTGAGGGGATGATTTTTTTTTGTCGCATTGTCGAGTGCATTCGGGGATGAGGGGATGAGGGGATGAGGGGATGAGGAGATGAGGGGATGAGGGGATTTGTCAACAGTGGAGAGTGCCTGTAGGTATCGGGGGTTGAATGAGCCGGATAGGAAGCATTGAAAGTAGCTTAGGAGAGGATGAACTCTGAGTGTAAGGAGTTGGGGGTTCTGATCTTTTTATTTATTTACGGGGGTTGATGTATGTCGAGGTGTTTGTCAGGCTCCACACGACCAACAAAACCGCTGAGGTATCGCTCGAGGCCAGGGATTGAAAAATAAAACAATTGTTTAATACAATTATTATTGTTTTCCGAGGACTGGCGAATCTACCGTTTGTCATGAATTAATAGAAACGGATAGAAAGTGTGGGATGATGAAAATCAAAGGACACGTCTTTCTAGTAAAAAACAAATCTAGACAATTCGACGTTCTGAAAAATGAAAACACAACAGTTGCCTTAAATGCTCGTCATAGCCTTTGTCCGAACTCGATTTAAAGCCCCGATGAAGATTGACGTATTGGAGTTTTCCAATTCACCGGTAACATATTTTTTTATTGTAAAAAATTGATCCGCCCTGTCATTTCTGTCACTGTCCCTTTCCACCATTCTTTTAAATTTCATATGTGTCAGTGGAGGTAATCGATGAATTGGATGTGGTTTTCGATTGAAAATTAAATGTGGAACTGTACAAAAAATTATAAATTAAATGTGGAACTGTGTGTGAGGAAAATATCTACTTGAATGCTCCCTTTCCACTAAACACCGTTCAACTTTTTTAACTCCAAAATGACAATAGCGAGAAAATATACTGATTATTGCCAGCAATTCGCCATAAATTCCCGAAGCCATATGATTTCCAAATTTTGAGTGAAGTGGAAATTCCGTGGACTTTTAACTCGCGCTAATGTTGCATTTGCGAAAATGCCGGGACTCGACCCGAATACTCAGTATCAACGGAAAACCGACAGATATTCCTGTCTGTATGCACCCTGAAAATCGTAGTGCGGAGAAGTTTCAATTTGTGCAGATAAATACTTGAGGGAAAATATTAGAGAGCTTGCTGGCAACCAAGGGAACTGAGCATAGCGAGTTAATATTAACAAGACTATGTTCGGAGAGCGCGTGCTGTTCCTGTGTAATTTCCTTTCTAAATGTACTAGAAGCTGGTACATATCTACATGCCTACATACTTCAGAAAACTATGGACCTACACGGAATAGTTATGCTTCTACAGGTGAGGATGTAATTCGAGGATGATGGCTATACGAAATTATTCCCTCATCTAATGAATCCCTTTTTAAAAAAAAAACTCTCCATTTTTTATTCCCAAATCACGTGAATATCCAACAGTTATCCTCACGAGAGTCACTTCAAATCGTATTTCACGAAATTTTTATCAAGACATCAAGATATCTGATTTATTATTCATTAATGAATTTTTATGGAAATAAATCAACGATATTTTTAAATAATTGATAAATTCTTTACAATGAATTTCGATACTCGAGGGTGAAGAGGCGAAACCTCAACAAACTCCAATGGAATTCCGGGTATTTTTCTCGTCGTTTACTCATGAATATTTGTCTTGGCGAAATTTCTTCCTTTTGCAGAACAGATATCCCGAGGAATATGAAAGTACGGAAGGGTATTATTGATGCAGGATGTTTTAAGCCCCCGGGGTATTATGGATAATGCGGATCTTTGAAAAAGTTTTATAATACAAGTTCCTCCTTCGGGTCATGAATCCCCAGGACTACGGGCATTCTCGAGGAATTCCCGTGGATCTCAACGGAGATTCGCTATAATCGATTTTGTGTTTGTACACTGAGATAACATTATTTTTACCGAGTAAATATTCTTGAGACAACTAGAATAACGAGGGGAGTGGGTTGCTGATCAATTTCCCTTTTTTTCCTCGTTTTTTTCACTTGAGAATCAATAGAGATGATGAGTTTATGAACTGAGAACGTGGAATTGATGGATAATTAATTAATTTTGTTTATTTCTAGTGCTGTGGAATAATGTTTGGGTTGGAGCCAGAAAATTATTGAAGCTCCCATTCAATTGCGCATTCAGCATTTGAGTGCAACGTGCTTGAATGATTAATTAACGATTTAATGTCGATTATTGATGATACTGGTGAGGATCTTATAATTCATGAAATTTCAGGGGAATTTCAATGGAATGGCTGCACTACTTGAGTGGATTTATCGGGATCTCGAGGATAATTGAAGATTCTTTCAATGAACACCGGATGTTGTTTCATTGATTTTTATTTTGATGATATTTTTGCTGAAGACGTTTGAAATTTACTCTGAGGTCAACAAATTATTGACCTGCGGAAAAAATCATTCACCCTGTTAAATTTATCACTCCGAGGGTATGATTACCACGTAAGGGAGAACTACGTGGGCGTGTGTAGCAGACATTTCCCATCTTTTTCTGGTAGTGGCCAGTGGAGGCTCGTATGTATCACTATTTTATTAGATAAGATACTCCCATGAAACGAACGAACTGGGTGAGGCTCTTAAAAAATCCTCAATCGTCTAAATAAAATGCCAACCACCACCACCCAAGAATAAATTCACTCTGCAATTTATCCAGATAAATAAATATATCACCGGTGAATAAATTCAGTGACGATTAACATTTTTGAAAGAATTTAATGATAAATAGCTCTGAACGGTTTGAAGTTCCGCGTGTAGTTGCACCCGAGAAAATCATGTTAATATTCGCAGTTAAAGTTGATACCCCGGTTGAAAAAAAGGCATTCCAGATGGTTTTTCCACCTTTTCAACTGGAGCACCTTTTCCAGCAGTGACGCAATATTACACCCGACTCTCATAGCCCTGTGAAATCATACAGTCGTGAGTGTGCACGAGTATTCAAGGGGAACAGAAAGGAAGAATAAAGAAAAATACACATACAAAATAGTAAATGCCTATTCACGTGAAATGGCCGGTTGGTGGAGGAAAAGTGCTGAGGGGGTTGTGACGACGGTTATGCGAAATAACAGGAGAGAAAAAACTGCGACAGTGCATGGTGCAGAATAGTGTTTGCGCTATGACTTTCTTTTTTTCTTGAATTTGAGAATGAAAAGCATCGGGGGAGGAAATAGTTTGGATTGGGGAATGGAATCGAGAGGTCAAATGGATCTGGGAGTTTTATGGGTACCTTTCACAGGGGATAAAACAAAATATATACTGAGTTAAATAAATTCACTTAATCTAACGCCCAATCTCACCCCCAGAAAATATAATGTTATTACAAAGTTAATTTTACTATTATCCCATTGATAAATGTCCAAATTCATTTGGAATGGGGAACAAAATATTTATTTAAATATTTATTCATGAAGAAATTGAAGGAAAAATGAGAATAAATTTTTGAATTTTGTCGAGGGGTGAGGGCATGAAGAAGTGAGGGGGTGAGGGACTAGATGAAATATAAAATGAAGGAGTATGTTGGAAAATGGAGGGATAAAAGCTCTGGAGTCATATCTCCTCACCTGCACTGTGGCCCTGCTGATTCCTGTCGGGTCTCTCAACTTCTCTCTGATTCAAAAGTGGTCTCTCTGTTCTCTTCGGATAAGGGCTGTAAGCCATCGGCCATATGGTTGTGTACTGTCGTCTCGGTGGCAATGGAGTGCTGTGCTGCTTCCCTGAAAATCAAGATTAGGACACCTCATCTACACTGAGAAAAAAAATTTCCGTTGTATAAAATCTGCTTTTCTGAAGTAAAAAAAAATGGTTTTTTCTCTCAGTGCACCCTCACCAGCAGCACATCTCAATTTTTCATTAACAAAGGAATAAATAAACAGTGTAATGATTTCCATGCGCCATTGCTATTCCACACCATACATGGTCGACAATTTTAATATCATCTGGAGATAGTATGGGGACAATTTCAGTATCTCAATTTTCTTCCATTCCGCTGGATTTAATCTCCACTTGATAAATCTAAGAGGATGAATACATCCGGATTTTTTGTGCGAGTCAAGCTGTTATGTGAGACAAATAACGTTTATTTATAGACTCTGTCATGCATTAAGTTAACGAAAAAGTGAGGTAAACAATGAGGGGTGGACGTGATTTTGCGAGGGGTGGCTGGGCGGTTGGGTGGTTGGGGGGTTGAATCATGTCTCCGACATTTCTTCTCCCATCATTTTTTATATCTCATTTTTCACGTCAAGCGAGAATGGAGATATCTCGCGTCTCTATACACCGCAGAGACGTAAAACATGACGTTAAATTTTGAATGCATACGACTCGTATTATGGAGGAGATGGAGATGGAGATGGTTGGGGTAGTTTTTTTTTTTTCTCGTTGAGAGCCGGTGAATGTGCGACGGAATTCAAAAAATCGGTGGGTGAGGGGCAATGAAGGGAGGGGGAGGGGCCTCGAGGGGGTGTGGGGGATGTTTACACGGTAGATTGAAAGTTTCAAAGGCGATAATTCTGTATTCACAGCCGCTGGCTGTGTAGTTCGACTTCATGTTCGACGTGGGGCCTATCTCACGATTTTACTTGGCTCTTCTGTCCCCTGTGTAAGCGCCATGTTGTCGGAAAAATTCCGGGGGAGGCCGAGGGGTTTATTAGGAAAAATATTGGGATAGGCATGAATTTTTTTCCATTGAAATGCCAATTTCAAGTTGAAAAAATTGAAATTTCCACCAATAATTAATTCACTCATCTCTCCGTATCAATTTCTACAATTTACACCGAATGAAAAAAAAAAACTAAATATCTCATACCCCACAAGGAAACGAATGCCACGAAACTACAATATCTTTAAAATAGCAATAAAAAATTATGCAGTGAATGCCGCGGGGCACTGGCCATGTGGCACTCGAATGAAATAAAATAGTTTCTTTTCCAGTCGATTAAATTTCATACCAGCAAACAGTTCAATACCTCACGTACATTAATTTTGAGATACCCCGGGTCGTGGGTTGTGACAAGCAGGCGTCTTTTCAGGCCCGCCACAACCCCTCGGTAGAACCAAGAGCCACTGAGGCTTTTCCCAGGGAGTAAGGAATACTATAAAAAGTTTTCGAATAAAAGTTTAAATACAGCCGCAAACTTTGTTTCACCATCGGGCCACCTACTACAGATATAATACCGAGGGAAGCGTTACAGCACTAGTGTTGGTATCATGCACTAGGATATAAACAGCAACACTAGAGTAGAAACTGTTTCACCGTTGGTCTCCCTCTGCGCCACTCTAAACAATATGGCCGACGGGAGAGCTGTCTCTATGCTAAGAATATGGGAATATATTACAGAAGCCCCTTTTTGCCACCCCCTCAACCCTGACTTTACGTACATACCCCTCGCGCAATCACACTTGCCTCATATTTCACATCTCGCCCTTTTGTACCTACTTTACGCTCTCTATTTTTCCCTTCTTTTACACCAACTTCGGGCGTTAGTTATTGTGTCATTAAAAAAATTCACCGACGCACATGCGAACACCTGGGGAACGGCGATAACAAATCAGCAGTGGATTCTATTTTTATCAGTACAATTCAACTGTAAAAAATTGTCTAAAAATTTTTTTAAATGCCAAATACTATCGGATATTAAATAAATATTGAAATTGTCGAGTAGATTGGATGACGTGACTGATTCAGAATGAGTAGACGGAATGAAAATGTCTTTCAACAATAGACAATTGTCAGACTGTCATGTCTAGTGACGAGAATTAAGGATCAAGTGCCACTATCACTGGAAACACGTGGGAGGGATCTCCTCTGATTAGTCTTCTAACTCGGTGAAACAGTCTATATTATCAGTGATAGCTCCGTGGGTAGATATACGGAATATTGTACATTACCGTTGTATGTGTTGGTGAACATAGGTGAGTTTGGAGTGGTGGAAGGAGGCAGTGGAGGCAATGGGGTGTTGGGTTGTTACTGGATGATGTCGACTATCATTTTGCCGATAATTAATTAAGGCTCGGGAAGGATCGATGTGCTATCCACGGAGAGGTGTACCCTACTCATTATGAAACGTTGTACTCCCGTCGGTATAATTCCACCACCCGAGTCTTCAAACTGCCAGGCACATGTATCCGTTCGATTTATTAAAGCGAAGTGACATCGATCATTTTTTCAATCTCATCAAAAAGTACTATACGAATTTTTATAATCAATCATTAAATGATTTTTAGTCTGAGATTAAATTATTGGTGAATTTTTCGTTCTTGATAATCATTTAAATTTTAAAGTGGTTTGCATTTTTAATCCATTGGGAGAAATTAAAATGGATTGAATTTGTAAAATTTGTGAAATTATCGGATAAAAATCGATAGCATTTGGAAATTGGTCTGGAATTTGAAATCAATTTACAAATAATTCTGGAAAACGAGAAAATGTCGATTTTCTCACTATCTCAATTCCCATTTCTACTCCCTATCTGCGTATTCACCCCGCGTCTTAACCGTCCGTTTTTTTTTTTCATCCCCCGAACGTTTACGGAAGTTGAATGAGAAGAGGGCCACCATCAGAGACTGGCCAGATCTCAAATTGGACTTTCTCCTGCGATTCGTTCGCAAGATAACAATAATGGAGGACCGCAAAGCTCCATTTTCCAGTCGCCCCAAACCCCACCACTCTCCATTCCCATGTTTCCCAACTGCTCGTCGAATGCAATCTCTCGACTATTTCTTTTTCCCTATTTTCCAACGCGTCCCTAATAATTGAATTTCAAATGTTCTTAATTGGACGGTGAAATTGGTTATAAAAAATAAGAACATTAAATTGTCATATTAAAAAGCGTAAACCTGGGGAACATAACGAGGTGATTGGGGGTAGGTCGAATAATGGTGATGAGAGTTTCCATTCTACCCCCCCGGGGGCCCACCACCTGACGACATTTCTTCCATCAAGAGGCCCTTCCACCCCCCCTCCTTATCCTCATCTAGAGAATTAATTACAACATCAACATGAAAGAAATTCCTCAATAAACATTTTAATACTCACTGATTATTCCACCCCCTCCGCGGGGTGCCCTAAAAACTCCGTCACCTCAACGATAAAAAGTGCCACAAAAGCCTGACGCTTCATTGTCAACGTAATATCTCCTTAAAGCACCTCAACTCAATTTTTGATATCTCTTTTCCCCCTGGAATTCCATATTCCTCACTCATGCCACGTACGCTTCTATCTTCTCAGGAAAAAGAATTGTGGGAGAAAAATAGAAAGCTACTTGAGGCTTTTTCGCACGTCAATATGAGACAGCGAATGCTGGAAAAATCCGTCCGGAATATATGCCAGAATTGAGTTATCTACAAAAGCTAGAACGGACCACTTTATATCCCCCATCCACCCCACACCCCCATCCCCCGCGGGACGTGAAATTCATTTCTCAATGTCTCAAGAATGGAAAAGAAGGATTTGTATAATCATGTGATATTCGGAGACTCCATCAAAAGAGAAAGAACATTTCGCGAATTGAATTAATCGCTACAGCTATCGATACCGTCCTTGAAACCATTCTATCTCCCTTGAATCTCAAAAAAAAAAAATCGCAAAATCCCACCGGAGTCAAACGAATCAGAAGCGCATGAAAACCCGAAATAACGTGGCTAATTATTCCCAATGGGGCTGTCGAAACATCGAGAGAAGTCAATTGAATGGGGAGTAATGAAATTGAATGAAATTCATGTATAATAAAAGGAGGTGTTGGGGTGTTTGGGGTTTTGGTGGAACTTTAACGGATGAATAAAATTCCATTGAGGCGTGTATTTCACACTGTGAGGTTGCTTGGCTGAGGCTAACGAGAGACTACAGTCTTGAGGACAAACCGTGGGGTGGGGTTCAACCTAGTGGGGAGAGAAGATGGGGTGGGGAGTGAAAAGGGGGTGGGGAGAAAAGAGGGGGGCTTAACCTAGTGGGGAGAAAAGAGGGGGGCTCAACCGAGTGGGGAGAAAAGAGGGAGTGATATGGGGGTGAGGTTTTGAAATTGTGAGGTGTGACGCAGTGTAATACCCGTCGTGGCTAGTCTCGTATGGGCGTTAATAATGCACTGTATTAAGATTGGTTTCACTACTACCCATATATGCAAGGCAATTGTTCCAGGTATGGTTAGATGGGTTGCAGATGGGTTGCAGATGGGCTGCTGCATGGACCACGAGGATCAAAGAGGATGGGAGTGGGTGAAGTTGATGGGGTAAAAGTGGTGAGAAAACCACTGGGACTTGACCTGGTAAGCCAAAATTATTTTATCATTCTTGGTAATGGAATTGTTCAAGGGTGGGAACACATTCCACCGTTTCGTCCACCTCAGGGGATGTCCATTTTTCTTGTATCGCAGAAAAATTTTTGCATTCGATTATAATTGTTATTCCAGGGACTTACCATCTTTGTTTGCACCACTCCGGATCTCCGTGGCTGTCGGGGGCGCTGATGGTTGAGCCATCTCTGAAAATTAATTTATATTTATTATAATAATATAATTTTTTTTATTGAGTTTTCTGGAGAATTTCAGGGGATTAATAATGTTTTCTGTTTTAGGGGTTGATGCACGTCGGGTTGAGGGTGAATTGTGTGACGAAAGTTGGTGTGTCCGGGGTGTAATTCCCGCGACAATTAAGAAAGATGAATATTCAGAAAGCGATTATTGACAGATCAGTGTAATAGTTTGATGCATTTCAGATGATTGCGGGGAGACGGAAGTTTGATCGGATATTGTCTGTACACAAGACACGTTGAGCCATGAATACGCGACACATCGTAAGATGCAATCTGGTCTCAAGCCACCCTTGCCTACCACCCCGTTATCCTTCATTGGGCTATGCAAATAGTGTAGTTATCGTCTGTCGTATGGGGTTGACGTAATATTGTCGCCCGGAGCGGACTCACGGAATGAAGCAATCTCGGATGAACCGTGTGGCAGATGTCAGGTAGGGGATATGTCGGTTTCAACCAGAACATCGACGGGTCATTTTACTAAGACAATACAACTACGTTCCCGTCAATCATCCCATTATATCTTCCACGAGGAGAAAAAAATATTTACTCCAATATCAACTAATTAATTAATTGCTTCATTACATTTTTATAAACTCAAGGATAATTAATCCTTTATTTGATATCAATGAATTACATTTTCCGAATGTCTCTTTTCATTCTGGAATAATGGAAAAATTGTGCGGATGGGAATACTAAAGAATAATAATTTCTCTATCGATAAAAAGCATGAGGCCATTTTTTCGATTGCGTTCATTCCCATTGAAATAATTGCTCGACTTAATCTCCAAATCCCATAAATTGTCATTACGGTGTACTTACCGTAAAGCCGGATGGAACCTTCGGTCTCTCCCAAAGAATTTTTACTAATGCATTTGTACGTTCCAAAATCACTCTGCTGTAGATTCCGGATGGTGAGCTGCATATTGGTTCTGTAACTGCTCTCAATCATTGTACTCGTGTACTTCTCGTTCGTAGCTAGCACTATTGAATTGTTAAAGTTCCAGTAGCTTATCGCTCGTGGATGTGCTTCGATTTTGCACTCGAGTGTAACATTCTTGCCAGCTGGTGCACCCATCAGCTGATTCCGCAGGAATATAGTCGGTGAAACTGAGGAGAATGGGAATTATTAGTTTCCTGCTCTTTTTCCTTCTTTATTCCATCCAGATAAAATCATTCTTCATGACTCCATGTTTCCACTATTTCATGAGATACAATGGGTGTGAATAATATCTTCATTCTCTCGAAATTCCAGAGAGAAATGGAACAAATTATTTTAGAAATCTACTCTAGAGATTTTCCTCGGAAATCAATTCCAAAATTACCGAAAAAAAAAATGTGTTAATAAAATCGAGAATTTTGTAATAATTCTCATGTATATGAAATTGAAAAAAAATGTATCTGAAGTTGAAATAAATATTGCTCATTTCTCCGAGGAATTACATATGTTTCAAAGGACTTGACGCAGTTTCCACTGACTGACGAATGAAATTCATGAATCCCTAGTAATTTCTCAGGTGGGATTAGTGGATACGAGAATCTCCTCAATATCCAGAGCGTTAGGTAATAAGGCAGTTCTGTACAAGCGACTAAGGAAACAACTTTCCACTTCAAAGTACGTAATACCGTATTCGCAGCCCCTCAACCCACTAATTTTCCGGTATTTCAAATATATAACATTATTTTATCACTAATTCGTCAGCTCAATAATCCCATAATTGGACTTATAATCAAATAAACTCAAGAATTGATGATGGCATAAATTATCAAAGGCATCCTGGCAATAGCCATCATTCGCTACATAAGCTCCATTTTCCGATGAACGTGGATCGAGTGGAGAGTGGAATATGCGTTAATTAGGGATGTGGGTACATAGGAATTTAATGGATTCCGGGGGTATTCCGCAGTCCAGTACATCAAACGGTGGATTCAATCTCGGGGAAAAGAATTCTGAGATATTTCTGAAGTGGTGCAAACACCGTATGTGCCAGACGAACCTTTGATTCGTAACGTTCGCGGATTCAAACGTTTCTTTATGTGAATTAATCAATCAGGATTTGCTAATCAGCGGAGGTAGAGTTAAATATTTTATTCAAATTTTCCCTCCGGTGATTCATCTATTTTTATGATTTTTATCATGATTCCGAGTAAATGATATTCATGCAAATATTGAGGAATTTTATTCTACCGATTGTTCTATGGAAATTGGTTTCAATGGACCACACACAAGGGGTTATTAGTGATCCTTTGGGGAGAGAGGCTTTGAGCAATCACAAAACCGAATGAAAACAATGCAATTACTAAATTAATCACCCGCTCTATTAGCTATGAATTGATAATTGATAAATTCATCGATTAGAATTTTTCATTGCGACGAGATTTCATTGTGAACTTAGAATCGACAATAATTAATAATTTCGAGGGACTGTTTTTCCATTGCGCAACCCATTAGGGGAGAAAAATAAACAGTCGAATGAACTAACGAGTTAATTACGCAATTATATCACAACGGAGTGATTTAACAGGAAAACGGTGAAACCCTTTTGTGTAACCAGTTCTGGAGATAATTTTCTGTTGATGAAATAAAATGAGTGATTTCGTCACTCGAAATTCAATCTAGTCGTAAAATTTCTAGAGTGTGGAGTAATAAGGGCGAATATCGAATAACGCTTTGCATTCTTGCGACTCCGGAATTTTCGCATTAAATTTTCATCGCTCGGATTATATCCAATTAATTTCTCATTTTCTTCCAACTTTAATCAGTAAACACGTAATTACTTTGGATAGACTAGTTCATTCGATTCATTGGGTCCTCGAAAAACCGTGGGAATGTCTCAACTATTTTAGGTAGAACTCCCTGGCCCTTCTGATACTTGGACAAATATCCCCTAGTTTTCGTGTCCCGAGTGAGAGATGGTGGTGGAAAATAAGCCTGGAGCCTGACTGTGTCACGAGACCACACTGTTTCTCGTTTGAATAAAATATGTCGGTGGAGTCCCTCTAAATATTCAGGGGACACTCGGGGTGTGTCCACATAAACTCCTCTACAGGAATAAGAAAGTGGGCTTTATTTTTTATTTTTTCGAAAAAGGCGAGAACCGACAGCGAATCCACACACGACTTCTGACACGAACGAATGAAACGCATAAAAGGGAAAAATGACTGGACAAGTCGTCTGGGGACAGACGTCCTTCCACTCTCTCGACTCTTTTGTATTTCCCAGGGGGTGAAAATTCCCAGCCAGGTCGATCCTCACCCGCGGTTACTGTCCAAAACAGCGGATGAAAATTAAACAGTTCTGTTCTGCTTGAGCTCCCTGGGGTCAATATTATTTATTATCTTCAAATGGCGACGCACTCCTCTCAATTTTTCTCTCAGAACCGCTGATACTGAATCATTTTTTAATTCGTTCTGATTCATCCGTATTTCAACACGTGGGATAGGCGGGCAGATTAATTTTTTATTCACCTATCGAATAAAAATTTTTTTATTGATTAATTAAATGAACTTACACTCAACGTCAACGATTATCCTCTTGCTGACCGTTGGAGGAATTCCGTTGGTCGCGATGCACAAATACGCGCCCATCTCTGTCCGCGTTATTTTCGTGAGGTTCAGCTGTTCCCCTTGAAATTTTTCCACTGAAATTCAAAAAAGATAAACCGGTCATGAATAAGTAACAATAATAGATCAATCATTTGACGAAAGATAAAAATGTATAAATATTAAAATACGATGATGTATACTTGAAGTTTGAGTCAGTAGTTAACGGAATATAGTTTTCATAGAAACGTCTCCACCGGGAATTTTGTCCCCAAGTTCTTCTCGGGGCTTGTGGCTGTTACCCCGATCGTCCCTTTTCGGGTAACATTAAGAGCTAAAGTTTTCAACGAATAAATCGCACTCGTGCCTCGTTTCATCAACTTAAAGCGGCAATTTACGACGGAACTTCCATGGCCACAGGGACCGGCGACTGTATAAAGCGATTCACGCGGTGGTGGAATGAAACGAGGGGAAAATATAGAGTGGAGAACGAAGTCAAGTCCCGTTTGGAGAGACCATACCTACCAGGGCCCCAGAGAGGCATCGTAATTGAAAACTTGGAGGCTCTACCACTTATAACTGTACTCTTCGAGTGGGAGTTTGTCTTGTAAACGTCAACTCGCTCATGCCATTTCAACCCTTCCAATCATTCTGATAATTCAATTTCAACAAGTTCATCACGCTTCAGCTATGTTTGCTGTTGTGGTTAAGGGTAATCATTTGGGTAACTATCAATTCATGATCGGAATACCATTTCAGGGGTGACGTGATCACTGCTAACCCAGAGGCAATTCAAATTAAACGTGAGCATCTCATGACCTCCAGCAAAATTATCCTATTATGCCACAGCATTTTCCATTGTTTTCCATTTTTTTTCCACAATCCCTGCATTTCAGTTAATTTTTATTTCGCGACGTGAGCCAAAAATGTCCAGCAATGCAATTTCTCATGAAGACATCCCCCAATTTCCCAGCAACTGCACTCGCGATTGCAGAACCCATTCGATCTTCGTTATCGAGTTATCCCGATCGAAGGTATTTCACAACCCTTTACTAATTGGTCCTCTCTTTTCTCCGTAAAACTCCGGGTGTGACTATCGTCTCCCACTCGTCTCGTTACTAATTCAACTGTTCAACATGGCTCCCTCAACATCACCCCTGTTAATTAGTAAATTATTTTCAACCTCCCCAATTCCCACTGATCGCGACAAAAAGAAAAAAAAGCTCAAATGAAAATCAAAACCGATCGAACGTACGTGAATGGTGTTCGTCGTGGCCGTTGAAAGACTCAGCTTTCCAATTAAAAATATTTCCAATGAAAACGCGAGATTCGAAAAAAACTGCTTGGATCTCCGTATAAAGGATGTGAACAGCAATATCGATTAATTCTCAGCGCAATTTATTTATATTTTCCATGGAGTATGGAGGAGGATGGGGATGAGGGGGAGGTCGTTGTATCGATGTTATATCGCACCCCTAATTAGTGATTGCGTTGGAATAAGCCTCCAACCCCTCGACAAGTTTTCTGAAAAGCTACCAAAGTTCCCGCCACCTATAGCCAATAAACAATCTCCAGAATGCCTCAGCGATATTCACGATATATTTTCATGTAAAAAGTGCACGTATACATCTCTGCCCTTCAAAGACCTCTCACTCAGGGATCGGTACCTAACGGTTAACTTTTAACGAGGGAACCAAGTTCGATGCTCATGCCTCACGTAGCTGATGCGTCAGTGCAGAATCTCTGGTACCCAGAGTTGCTTCAAGCTTGTTAGGCGTCGTGATACGCGAGTATGAAATTTACACTGGGCTAAGGTCTCCGAGCATCTCAACTATGCCCTAAGTGAGGACCAACTTGAGATCGACGATTGGTGAAGGCGAGCCGATACTCAGACGACCTGTCAATGCCTCAAGCTTTATCCCAACTTTTTAAAAATTTTCAATGCCAGTTGGAATTCAATTCCAATGAAAAAAAATTGATTTCTTCGGTGGAATTCTCATTTTTTTAACGCTTGAATTTCATGGATTTTTCGTTTATTGAAAATCAAAAATTGGAGGAGAAATTAGACGAAGATAATGCGAATTTTAAGTCAAGTCAAATGAATTCGAGATCAAAACCATCTGCACTGAGGGCTGAACGGATTAATTCGAAAATTCTCGTCATCCTCTCCGAATTAACGTGCAAATTTTAGATTTGATACTGGAATAACAGTTTGGACAGTTCATGAATTATTCGTACGCCTTGAATTCGTTGAACACCGTGACGATTAAAACCGCCAAAATTTAAAATAGAAGTTGAATTGAATTTACCGAAGATGCGGGGTATACCTCGAAAGCTATTCACTCGATGAAAATATATTCATGAAGATGCACTTTGGCACTGGGAGAAGACACCGTGGGATTTCCAAAGCATCCGAGGGTTCCCTGAGTCGGTTTTAATTGGACGGTTCTAATTTTCACGAGAAAAGCCCTCTTGATTCTAAATTCCGTAGTGAGACGGGGGGCGAAAAAGCCCCTCAGTGGAATGGGTGGAGAACGAGGGACGGGGGAGAGATAAGACGATGAGGTGTCTTTGAGTCGAACGACACGTCAAAGTTGGCATTCACCTGGAGTACGGGTGACGTTACAGGCCAAAGCAACGAGAAAAGCGAAAAACATAAGATAAAGAGTGAATTGCAGACGCATGGACTTGGTGCGGAGAAGAGACCCCGTATTTGCCTGGAACTTAATTTTTTTGCATTCAAACTTCAAAACGTCGGGGCGCAAGTGGTCTTTAAACACGAGATGAAAAAAAATGAAAAATATGTGCGTCTTTATGCGAGAAACTCATGGTTTCTTTAAATAATTGTCATATCGGGATAATAAAACAGGAAGAATTTATAGAAATACAACTCGAGGAATTCTCGGATTTCTGTTACTAAAAAATTCATGAATTCATGAAATTTTCAGTGCAACCTCCGACTTCTTAAAAAAAAATTCACTGCCTCTAGAAAAACTCCTTTTGTCACTGAATAATTTCTCCCGAGTGCTGCAGTTAAAACATAAATTTACTCAAGACAGTAAATGAAAAGTGGAGCCGGCGACGAATGTCTAGCTTCAGTACTACAATTTTTTAAAACAAATGTCTCAACTTTTTTAATCCTGCATTTAGCACCGGAGGGTTGCGCGAGTGATATTGCAAAAGAATAAAAAATGAATAATGCAATGTTGGTAAAATAAAATTGTCATTCACGAACCCCGTGACCGCTATCTCAGCGTCAACTCGGTCTGTGTATGAACTCTCGGCCGACGACACTGTGCCGTCACGAGCACCTGGAATCCCAGAAATGACGTGTTACTGGGTTGACACTGGGGCATCCGACCTGGCACGCCTTCTCCATGACATCGCGTGGCTTCAGTTTCAGTTCCCATGTGCTACCCGTATAATTCATGACCCCAAGCGTCCCTACCAGACTGGTTAAGTTTTAATCCGTCCTTTCCGACACCAAACACTGCAACTCGCAAAATTTCAAATTTCTCGCCACCGCAGCATCATAATTCTTTCAACTCCCGCATCACTCTTTCTCCCTTTTCCCCTTTTCCCCTTTGCCCCTTTCCCTCTTTCCACCTTTCCCCCTTTCCCCCTTTCCACCCCTTCGTCCCCTCTACCCACAAGAACCAGAATTACATTGTATTTATTCTCCAATGCGCCGAAAAAAGCTGACGAAAAATGTTACATGCATTTTTTTCAAAATTAATTTCATGTTTGATATAGATGCTATTGATAGATCCAACGCATCTAAATCGATTTTGAAGCGCTCAAAACAGTGCAGTTCATCGAACGATCATCGTAAGACGTAAACACTAATTAAGCCTGCGTACTTTATTGAGGTGCAGAATAACCAATAAAAATGCGATTTTTTTTCAAATCCTCAGACGTCTTGAGGAGTTTTTAATGGGAGAAGAGCGAGAGGTACGTAAGCCGTGACATTAGAGCCAAGCATCCAATTACGGGAGCATCAGAGTGAAGAAGAATCTCCCCGAGGTACGTTTTAATCCATTCCAGTGCCGGTAACTATTTGTCTCGAGTATTTTCATCGTTAACAATCAAGTAAGGAGTCTTTCATGCAGTGTAAAATAATAATAAAAATGAATTTAGCTCGGGAACAAAGCGAGCTAGCTGGTACAATGCATGAAATAATAAAAGAGTTAGCTAATTGAGCACGACAGTGGCCTCTCACTCGGTTGAAGTAACAAAGAGAGAAATTTTAAGAATTAAATAAACCAAAAAAAAAAAAAGAGAAAATACAGTCCAGTTGTATCCGTTGCAACGTCTCGTGCATATTTCACGGATAAGCTCGACGTGTACGCGCATAATTTTCACCCCTTCCTTGACGGCAAAACTTCTAGCGCCCTGATGCACGTGTCTGCGCTTACGGTAACTCCTAGACCCCTGAGTTGATTAATCTCTACAATATTTAAAAAGGCACCAGACGACCTGGAGTAAGCCTCACAACTACAGCTCGTGGTATATCTGAAGTGAGAGTCAGCACGAACAGCGGTAATGGACATGATAGCTTTGCAAATCCAGGGGTAATCCCTTCTTCGTTGGGGGTTAGTGGGAGTCCCTGGTACTGTGTACAGAGGTCGGGGGGGCTAATTACACAACACGTTGAGGTAATCAGGTGACTTTTCAAAGTCCCTGGTGTTACTCACTGTTGTCTCAAGGGATTGGTTATTAGTTTTCTTGCATGTCCCTACGGTTTTACGTGTCCGTACGTAAAATGGCACTTGGAAAAAACAATTATTCGCCCCCGTTAGTGACTAATTTTACTCTTTAATTAAGGTTTCGAGTTGGAATCAATGGTATTGACAATGTTCTGATTGAAGTAGTCCTTGTCCTTCTGTTGGATGGGGGTGATAAAATATTTACGTAACGGTGAAGGAGAGAAATTCATACCTTTAGATCGCCGATCAATTGGTATCGATTGGCCATTTTCTCGTCGCCACATCAACGTTGGATTTGGATAGCCCTCGGCTTTGCACGTCAGAGTTATGTTCTGATGCTCTTTCACAGCTACTGTACTGTCGGTTGAGAGCGAGTCAATAATGTTCGGTGGCACTGCAAATGAACGGTTATTTTTAAATATAACAATTAATTCGAAATAATTACAGAGGTCGACAACTCTTCGATGCAGACTTTAGGTAATTCGTTATATATTTCGAATATAAAAAATATTTACGATATCTCTCATAATGAAAATAAATAAATTCAATTGGTATTTCAAAGAGAATAATCAATTGATTTCGTAATCGATTGATATTCCACGTTTCGCCCTGATTGTTTACCAATTATTCTTTTGAAATTGTTTTTTAGAAAGTTATGATAGTTTGAATTGCATGTGGGAATCGTTTGGAAAGATAATGAATTCAACGCACCCACAACTTGTAGATATCCGACTTGGCTTATCATCGGGATAGTATTAACTTGGCACATGTAGTAGCCCCGGTCTTCCTGCTGGACATTCTGAATGCGAAGCAGCCAAGTCTTGTGTTTGTCGTGGGATACGCTGAACCTCGGTATCTTTACCACAATGTGCGTGTGGATCGTGAGAAGCATTTGACGTCCTACGTGCACCCATGCCACCTGTAACAACAATTTCGAAATCGTGAACCAACTGTAATTAAATTGCTCAACACGTGTTCTATGAGCTGTGTTACCAGCTGGTGATTTTTCGGGAATTGTACTTATGAGTTTATATAGTCATGATCAATCCAGTCGATAAATCGGTTGATTGACGCGATGGTGGATAGATTGCGATTTTTTTGTGACGTATCTTATTTTTATGAAACCAATAATAATTTTTCTGTACCAGATCAAGACTTTATGAGAAATGGAAATTGAGCTGCGGAGGGATATCCAAAAATATGTACTTGTAAGATTAGAAAATGTTGAAGGGTATTTCTGTTATTTCATCTCACTGCGGTTTCTAAAATATTCATTCCATTTTATTCGGATCGCCATTATATCGAGAACAGCCTATTCAAAAATACTTATCCCCACATTTGGAAAATATGGAAATTTATTTTGGAATTCGAAATTTTATTCGAAGCACTGACATTTATCAATTGACTTGTTCGAAGAACGGAACTGATATTTTTATTTTTTAAATCCATTATTGAATATGATCGTCTTGGGTAGTGGCGATTGCCGTGACCCATTAGGATTCCATTATCTTCGTTTATCAGAAAATGGAAATGGAAAATAGATCCATCTCAAAACAACTTTGAAATCGATATCCTGCAATTTCAATCCGTCAGTTATGGAGATATTTAATGGCCATCTAGGAATGGCAGTTGGTGCTTTCTTGTGTCCATAAATATCTTCTTGAAATTTTGAGGCTTCAACGTCGAAGTATTACATGAATTTAACTGGCATTTTGTCAGAATTTTAATTAAAAATAACCCGATGCCGAATGATATTCTCGTTCGTCAGAAAAGAGACATACCGCTACAGGGAATAGAAGGAATATCGACAAAATCTTTTTCACTATATGGAATAATGTCTATCAACAATTGCAGTGCAATTGCGTTATTTATTCTTTTTTCGCTGTACTTTTACTCACCCCGTCAACTAAAAATATCATATTTAACGAGCATTCAACCTTTCCGGGTAAAAAAAAAATTGTAATCGGAATATTTTTTCCAAATTTTTCAAAAATTTCTGGAAAATCGTTCAGAATTTTTTTTTATGAAACAAAAGAAAAATCGGAAAACAAAACAATTCTATATTTAGGAAAGGTCTTGAAAAATCTTTAAAAAATTTGAATGGGAATTTTTTTTATAAGGCGAATTAACCCTCATGGAGTGATTTTTATTTTTTTTACATTTTGAAAAATGGGCATTTGAAAAATTTCTTGAAAAATTCACCAACGGCGCAATAATGAAATTTCCCGGAAAAAGTGAACTGTTCTGCGTAGCGGACCGACCGCGGATGCGTAATGACGGCGAATCAACCCTAATGGAGTGATTTCAAGATTTTTCATTTTTTGAAAAAGGAGTACTTGAAGAGTTTTCCAGGAATTTTTTGAAAATTTGAAAAAAATATTCCGATTGAAATTTTTTTTTACCCGGGTTACTTGAATATTTGCCATGAGCTGTCCGATGGAACTGAACGGAAAAATGAATTTTTGAATTTGATTGGCAGTGTGGGAATCACGAGTTACTGCTTCGGGGCTAGTTAAAGCTTGTTTCTGTGAACTCGACAGTGCACATTGGGTTTACATCAACGATCTCGACCCCACGGAATTTTACGTCCATCAGCCGTGATATGCAAGGATAATAAAGTTGGTAAGAAAAAAAAAGCCAGTAGACTGTCAAGATTATTTAAATCACAAAGGAAGAAAACAAAGAGAAAGCAAATGAACCGTGTACATCCCTTTTCCAAATGATTAACAAGTAAAAGTTCACCCCGATTCAAGGGAATTACGGAATTGAACATCTAAAAACGATTACAATATGCTTCATGTACGTATGACGATAAATCGTCAATGACTGAACTCCCTTTTATCGAACGGATGTCGAAGTGAAAATATTCCACAGTCGATTGAAATACTTGGCAGGCACTCAAAATGCCAAATCTCCGGAAGTACTCCCCAATTCATTTGCGCAAATGGCTCTCTCCTTTGATCCTCCATTATGTACATCATTTAATTTCAATTAATAAGAGGATTTAACCGGATCGAAGGATGAGATTAAACGAAAAAGAAAATCCAGAGCCGAGAGCGATTTTGATCAATAAGTCATCCCGATTTCCCAGTTGGTCCCTGGAATCTCGTTAAAACCGAGAAAACAATTCAATACAATGGTGATTCAATTGGAGAAATGAAATAGACTTTTATGGCTATTTGTTACTTTTGCCGAGTACACCCTGGATAAACTGCCTGTTACGTTGTACCTCCAGTTGTCGGCTGGAACAATGGATGAATTAATCCACTGCGTTTGTACGGTTAACACACTGACAGATCAATTATTCAATTCCATTTGCAAATTAAGTAATTATACCGCAGTACAGGTCAAACCCGCGGGATTTGGCGCGGCCTGAGACTCTTCAATCATAATCATCGGATTTTGTGTTTCGGAGGATTTTCCGAGGGTCGATACAATTATAATTTCCCGTTCACTTGAATTTTTTTTTTTTTTTTTTTTTTTTTATTTGGGCAAATTTTGGTTTTGACCAATTTTTCTTTCGTTCGTTGGCTTTTTTTTTTTTTTGGCGTGGAGAGGGTTGAAGTGAAGTTTTTGCGCTTTCAATAGCTTTCTCTGATATCTCTGGAGAAACCTCTTTGCGACAGGCACTTGCGTAATCTGTGTTATCATAATTCCTCATTCATCTCTCCTTGTAGAACGATCTCATAACTCGCAAGGGTTGGTTACCTAAGTGAATCCTACCCGTAATTAACTGAATTTACCGGTTTCTTCCGATTCCTTTGAAAACTCATAACGTTTGAAGTTAACTGAAGCCGACTACGAAAACATCCCCATTTGTACATCTGCCATTTTCTCCTCGGCCCGTATTTTTCCGAATGAAGAATTATTACCTAATAAATTTCAAGAGAAACCCATTGACACATAAATCGGCATCGACTCAACGGTTCCATGAATAACATAAAGACGGTTGTTGTCTCTAAACCTTCCCCACGAATTCGCGAATCGTGCCAACCCAAGGAGATCAACACATCAGAAATGAAAAATCGAAGAAACTAGAAATCCTGAAGATAAAAAACGACGAGAATTCCAAGAAACAAAAGTCACCACGAAGAAGTTTAAAGATTTTTCTATAACTCGGCAGTTGTAGTGTAATAAATTTACAAATGAAATATTCGCATCAGCCTAGTTACCCAAGTGATAAAATACCGGTATCAATATTCCATTGGCGTCACCGGGAACAGGTGGTTCGATTCCTTCTGCAGAGGCTCAAGACTAATGCACTACTGTCACCGGTTTCCAATCTCAGTTGCGCCCACAATTTTGTTTACCAGAGAAGTCCCTCTTGATCCCACTCGGAAAACAAACTTACTCGGCTATCCCTTCGCTCAATATTCCAAGAGGTTGTTTTCCACCAGCTGCACGTCGATATCATAAGCATTTGATCGGTAAGTATCGTCGATTTGTATCGAGAAATCCTTCCATCAGGCCCAACATCCACGCTAACAAGTGGTTTACGTTGAATCCCAATGAAGCCATCATGCACATGTTCCAATTCATCTCCCACGATTGTTCCATACAAAATAAAAAATCGATAGCCTCCATCCCAGGAAGTCGACGATCATTGACTTTTCAATTTTTAGGCAATTATAGGGAATTAAATTTAAAGTAACTGAACTCAGAGGAATTGATTGGCGTAAATTGGGGCATATTGATATCGACTGTTCCCAGGGGATTGCTCAAACGAACAAAGTGAGACTCTAAACGACGGATTTGTCGACGATGTTTTCACCCTCTACCTTGATAGCCACGTAATCGACAGAACGACTAAAGTGGCTGATGCGTTTTCGATAGCTCTGGTTTGACTTCTACCTGTCGCTCTTTCGTGCAAACTGCGCATTCAGGAGCTTCGCACGTCTGTGTTACGATGGCTGCAATCGGCACGATTCTTGTGATATGGAGCATGAGTTTTTATTATTCTACTTCAGCTTTAAGCAATCGGGGAAACCGATAAAATCGGTGATGCTCGAGACTTAATGGGAATTCTTGCACAATTCTGGGGCATTGATATCGGGTTAATAAACGGTTGATGGGGCACTGGTAAAAGAATTCGTTCAATGTCACACGATGAATTTACTCATTACTCTGATTGTTCTGATACACGTGAAATATTTTGACGGACGCGGGGAAAAAAAATTGTAATCGGAATATTTTTTTGAAATTCTCAAAAAATTTCTGGAGAACTTTTCAGAAATTTTTTTTTGTGAAACAAAAAAAAATCGGAAAACACAACAATTTTATTTTTCGGAAAGGTTTTGGAAAATTTTTTTTATAATTTAGATGGCGTTTTTTTTTAGAGTATTGAAAAATCAAAAAAAGGAAAAAATTATATTCGCAAAAATTTCTAGAAAATTATTTTTAAAAATTGGCGAAACAAATTTTTGAAAAATTTTCCAAAACATTTCCCAAAAATCAATTGTTTTGCTTCCCAATTTTTTTTGTTTCAAAAGAAAAATTTTCTGAAAAGTTTTCCAGAAATTTTTTGAAAATTTGGAAAAAATATTGCAATAACAATTTTTTTTTACCCAGGATATTAACATTGATTTTCATTAGCCGGAAATCGCAGGAATATAATATTATATATATTTTTTAAAAACCTTTTCCTAAGTGAGAACTTTTTGAATCGTGAGGGTATAAAGCTGAATAACTGATTATTGAGGATGGAGTAATTAACAATGCCGATTGAGCTAACATAATTGAATAATTACTCACCTTGTAAGTGCCGAGATTGTTGATGACACAAGGTAGACTGGCGTCTCTTCCCACTGCTACAGTGACATTTGGAATGGGCTCAGCAAACATAGGGCCCTCCGACAAAGCTGCAACAAACAGAATAATTCCATTGATAATTCAACGCGTGACAAGAGAATTTTTTTATTCAAATTTCGGTTGGGAGGGGGTGAGATACGACCCGGGTATGATGGAGGAAATGTGGATGGAGGTGACCTAGCATATCAGGGTACATCCACTTCCCTGCAATTTCATGGGAGAATAAAGAGCCCCTGTGTACTCAGGGAACCTATCCCACGTCCATCGACCAAACCCAACTTAACCGAAATTGGTTATCCGTATGATAGGTCGCAAAAGCTCTCCGAAAAGTCGATCCTGGCCTGCTTCGAGAATCGATCATTATCGTTTTGTTGTACTTACATTTGTTACATTTAATTTGACTTATCGTCGTACACTCAGTAACAAACTGGATTTATTCCACAAATCTTTAATCAATCACTTAAAATCTCCATTGAAGAGAAAAAAAAACCTCCCCAGAAGTCTAACTCTCAATTAAATAATTTTCCGACGGTTTGATAATTCCTAAATACCCGAATTACAAACTTTGTTCAACGGTAAATATTAACAAGAATTTCTCAACGCGGGGGAAATTTTCTCGCGAGTCTCATTGGGTGGATTTTGAAAACTTGTAGTACTTTGAAAGGACTCAAAAAACTTTGGGATGTACTCGAGGATGAAGAAGGGTAGTTGGCGGACATCTCGACCGGAAGAGTGCCCAGCCCTCTCGGATTTCGGTCGAGAGGACATCCTCCAAGTATTTCACCGTTCTCCAGACAATTTTCAGATGCCTGCATTATATTACAGGGTATATACACGGATCGATCGTCTTGTATCACTGGGGATATTTTACTTCGTTGTAGTTATAAAACTTATGATCGTATATACATGAGAAGGTAACAGGCTGGGGTAGTTTCTTGGCAGTCTCTCGTCAGTCTCTAGTCCCCGGCAGTTTCTGTGGCCAAGGATCATTCACTCGTGAAGAAAAGAGATCGGGGAAGAGAAGCCGGAGGGATAAACTTCCACAGGATGAAAGTGGAAAACGGTATGCGGTACTCTGCAGTCAGTTAGGAACGCTTCGTGTGAAATCGCTCTGCCAGAATCGAAATTTATTGGATGGCAGGAGTAATTCGCGGAAAACAGCGTGGGTAGTACTTTTCTCAGTGTCTCTCGAGATCTCTCTTCATGACAGCTGTACATTTTTCACATTTTCAGGCTCTCTTTTTTATTTCTCTTTTTTTCGCTTCGTTGTGTTTTATTTCTACGAGTGGTACCGGAGTTAACTCGATCGGTTGAAAGATGTTTTTTGGGTCAATCGAGCAGTTCGACTGCTTTGGGCGATCTTTCAGTTATTGGTTATCGATTTAATCATCCCTTATCGCACCGTCATGTGCACTCGGTTGGGTGAATGTATTTACGCAGAATCTCGTCACTACCGGAAGTAGGCGGAAACCCTGACCTCCGGGTTGGGTTACCGGGGTCAGGGCTATTCTATTCAATACGTCTGACTCACAGGTCATTCGTGCGATTCTAGAAAAAAAAGGGAAAAAGGGAAGCATGCACTGTTGACTGCGCGGAGGAAAAAGTTGAATTGAATTACCAGAATCGCACTGAGAGTAATACTGTCCCGGGTAAAAAAAAAATTGTAATTGGAATATTTTTTCCCAATTTTCAAAAAATGTCCGGAAAATTTTTCAGAATTTTTTTTTATGAAACAGAAAAAAAAGGAAAACAATACGATTTTATTTTTGGAAAAGGTTTTGAAAAATTTTTCAAAAATTTAAATGGGAAAATTTTTTTTATTATTTAAACGGCGTATTTTTTGAGAATATTGAAAAATGAAAAAAGTAAGAAAACAACGGTATAATGAGAAAAAAATTATATTCGCAAAAATTTCTAGAAAATTATAAAAAACATTTTCCGAAGCAAATTTTTGAAAAATCTTTCAAAACATTTCCCAAAAATACAATTGTTTTGTATGCCGATTTTTTTTTCAAACAAAAAATTTTCTGAAAAATTTTCCAGAAATTTTTTGAAAATTTGGAAAAAATATTCCGATTGCAATTTTTTTTTACTCGCGGTGGTAGAATTTATTCTCACATTTGTTGGAAATTTACGCAGTGACTAGTTAAAAATGGACTGAAGAGTCATACGGAGCAGTTGATTCATTTTTTTTTTAATTGCTGAGGGGAAATTTTGTGCTGGGAAATTATGTAATGACGCTGTAGAATTGAGTTCATATTTACAATCGTCAATATTTATCAAGGAACCCGTATGTAACCCGTCAGTATTACTGTTCTATGCAAGTCCGGGGCAGGTAATTCAGGTGCTTCTGTTGGATAAACGTCGAAGTGAGTAATCATGCGAAGTGCTTCGTAATATTGAAATGAGCACAATGGTGTTCAGCTTTCTAACATAAATGCTGTTTATATTTCATGCAATGGATATTTCTTAAAATTGCGCAAACGCGGAAATAAGCGGATGCTGAGTAAAAGAACAGTTTACAGAATAATTATCTGATCGTAAAAATTTTATTGAGAAAATCGATGGTTCGTCAGAAAATTATACTTTGCCCAGAAAAAAAAAATGGAACAATGAAAAATTTTTCTCGTGAACCAACGGAAAATAACACTTGAATTTTCAAGTTATTTCTCAATCTCTAATCAATTGGAGTAACGAGTCCGTAATTTATGGAGCTCTATGGAGATATGTTAATCCTGCGCAATTATCTCAATTATTCATCGAGAATTGCGTAACATACGACCGCATATTATACAACGCTGTTCGCCGTCTAGTAATACCCTGAGTTCACTTGGAGAAGTTTAATGCAATGAGGAGTATCAAATTCCGACGTGTGCAGCAGATGTTATGAATATGCCTCAAGGTTAGGATAAAATGACTCATGGAAGGCGTTTCCAATTCGTGACATGTGTGCCTTCAGTCATTTTAACGTATATCAGCGGAGTGATTTCGATAAGCCATGATAAGATTGTCTAAGATTCTGATAACCGAAAAATTCCTGCGTAGACTATCCAACCCAATTCCTACAATTTAAATTTTTTCAAGTAGCCGCAATTGTTGAGCCGCCATCACCCTGGAGTCAACAAAGTTCCAAACATTATTCACCACAACAGCAGGATCATAGTTTCCATATAATTAATTAAGCATCTGAGCAAACTTGGGAATGAAATTTCTAAAAACTTTCAACACTAGCCAGAGAGCACTCATTTCGTCCAAAGAAAGGACCATCTCTTGTTTAATTTAATTGGAAAGCTCTGTTTGTTTCATGAAGTTTACTCTGAATAACCATTTGCCTTTCATTGCCGTCGGTTGGTGAATTTCCACATCATATTACGGAGAGTATTGTTTCACCGTTGGAATTCTTAAATTGTTGGAAAGTCTACTCGGTGCAGCTGTTCTTTGTGATGGAAAAATGCAAGTGCGTAAGCAAAGTAACCAATCCATCCAAAGAACTTGCTGAATAACCAACCGAATAAATGACGAAATAACGTAACGAACGAACGAACGAAAGTATAACGTAACGAGGAACGAAAGGAATGAGAAAAAAAAAAGGAATATGTCAGTGAAAAGCCTCCAATCAGCTGCTAGTAGGGGTGAGGGCGCCACATATTCCAGGGATTGGACGCGGATCGATAATAGTCCTGTTTACACACGGAAAGTCAGACAACCGCGTCTCTCACGACCATCCGGCAACAATCGAGTTGATAAAAATAAAGGAACAGATAAATTCGTCATTACAGCGCAGGAAAAAATACAAGGTTCACCTGTTTGATTGTGAAGCATTGACGGTAGTTGACCCCAGTCAAGCGTGTCAGAGTGTCTGGCATCCGGTAATAATACTGGTGGTGGGAGCTGAGAGTCGGTGGGGAATAATGTGTCTCTAAGCAACGTCAGTCGACAACACTTGCTGAAACGGTAAACGTACTCCTCGAACTTTGTGCAAAACTCCATTGCTTCCTGAGCGATCAACTGGATAAAGTGAAAGTGATCATGACACCCAAAATACCAGCAGCAACGAATACCAAATCCACGTGACAATACATCTCTCGAAGGATGACACTTCATTGGCATTATCACGTGATTGAATTAAAATCTGGGTGAGTCAAGTTAATGGGAGTGACAGAATAAAAATGCTGTTATGCGGACGAGGCAAGAGACTGTGGCTGTTGGCCTTCATCGTCACACTAGCATGTCTGCATCTCGTATTAATGTACTGTGATATAAGAATAGTGGAATGGGAGCCGAGTAAATATTTATTTGGATTTGGTAAGAACGATCCGCCGCATCTGGGTAATTCAACAAAGAAGATACTGTATTGGAATACTATGTTCGGTGATGAGACATTCTACTTTGGTCACGGTGATATATTTAACAAGTGCCCCGATTTACCCACCGGTGGGTGCTATGCAACGCACGATCGATATATATTCGATATTCGGGATTATGATGCTTTATTGTTTCATGGGAATGAGTTGTCGGTGAGGGATCGACCGGCGATTCGGGATCAATCACAATTTTATGTTTTTGTTAATCTTGAGAGTCCTGTGACGTGGGTCAAGCGGGCAAAGCCATTCTTCGAGGATTATTTCAATTTGACAATGACGTACAGAGTTGACAGTGATGTACAGTGGTCGTACTATTCTGTGCGTGACAGAATAAGTGGAGATATTGTGGCGCCGGTGGGGAGTGCCGTTTGGAAGACATCCGAGGATGCAACAGGTGAGGATTGCAATCGACAGTTTCACATGCACTCGCGGATACATTTGTAATGAATGAGCTTTCATTTCCCGGGCTTTTTCCGGGATCACTGAGGGTAATTACGTGATGGTTATAATTGAAGCGGGAAGCTGCTCCACAGCGCATTCACCTTTCCAGGAATAATTTGTACAATTGGACGGGAATTTTTATTAGTTCTCGTGCGTTTCAGTTGGATTAGCACTCGCTGCTTATTAGCACTTAATTGTTACCCACGACAGCTGTCGTTAAGTGTTGCTTGTCGTAATTTCTCGTACCAGTTATGGTGCATCGTTGGCCGCTTAACTCGTTCATTCGGTTAAGTGCTATTTGTTTATTTATTTGTTTGTATTTCGTTGGGGTTTGGAGAGGAGAAGCACGGTGAATGATAATTGTATCGTTTAGAATAGGATCAATGCTCCATTCACGCTCAATTCATCTCAACCTTTCTGTTAAAGCGGACCTTGGGCCGAGCGGTGAGATAATGGAGATCATCAAGACAAAGAGAAAAACGGCGGTGTGGTTTGTGAGTAATTGCGAAACAGACAGTGCACGTGAAAAATACGTGAAGGAATTGTCGAAACATGTGGATGTTGATATTTATGGCAGATGCGGAAGTGAAATGAAATGTCCAAAGGGTGAGGATTGCTTCCGAAAAATCGTGGAGCCTGAGTACTTCTTTTATTTATCCTTCGAGAACAGCCTCTGCCAGGACTACGTCACGGAGAAATTATCCAATGCTCTCATGTAATTATTACCGCGGTATTTAATTTTCATGGTAAAATATGATTTTTTTTCTCTTCAGGCATAATGTTGTTCCGGTTGTTTATGGTGGGGCGGACTATGGGTCATCGGCACCACCGAATTCTTACATAAACACCCTAGACTTCCGGTCCCCGAAGGAACTAGCACAATTTTTAATAAGACTGACGAAAAATCCATCCAAATACGCCGAGTACTTCCGATGGAAGAGGTATTATGAAATCGTTCCTGGCACGCAGTTGGCTATTTGTCGCCTCTGCAAGTATCTCCACGGGGCAAAAGGCAGTAAAGTGTACAATTCAATGGCCGATTGGTACTTGAAGGGAAAATGCCCGTTGCAGGACAAGTTGAAGAGTTTTCCATATGCCACCCAATTGGCTACGATGTTCGCTGACGATTAAATCCCTCCACTTATTTTTTTTTTTTCATTGTGAATTTTATGTTTCAACTGTAAAGAAGTCTATTATTTGTTCCACTAGGATAATGCCAATAAAGATAAGGTGAAAGTATTGCAGTGGGTGAATTGAAAGTTCAATAATTTTTTTATGTTTTCAGGATAAACGAAAAATTTACTGACCGATTTTAATTGAAATGAAATTAATACCGATTTAATCGAATTTGTGACTGAAATTTTTACCAGCGCATATTTTTGGTGAAATCGATTGAAAACGGAAAAGAGTACGCGTACTATTTATTCGCTTGTCTGAAACGAAAATCAACTTATATCGTCGCATAAACGATCCTCACGTGATGTACTCGAAAATCCTCGTGGGATGAAGAACCTGTCGTTTTCAACGATACTCCACTAAAGTTGATTCCCGTCGGAGCATTCGCCTCGGGGGAAAAACGAGTTGGACGATATGATTCCTTTATCCTTTTCACGGGCTCTATCGAATCACAATAGCTTCCACATCGGGGAGAAGATATTGCGATGTTATACTGTTGAGTGTTACTGAATCATTTCTAATGTTATCGTTTCACCACTGCGAGAATATGCTTTTGTTGTGGAATGTCAAGTCCTCGCGGACAGGAAAAACGACTGGTGAAAAATTGAGTGGAATATCCTGCCACAAAGGGATAACAACACCACAAAAAAAAACTATTCTGAATGAAGTTCAGGCCCAATTTCACTCAATTTAATTATTCAACTGAATTCAAGTTCAATACGGACTAATGCATTCGTAAGTTGATGAGAATATATTAATTATGCAATGTTAATTCGGAAAAATAGATGAGAGACCGAGTTTAACGGAGGAATCATCCAATTTTCCAGATTTACATTACATCGAGTATAATGATTGTGTTTACAACATCATGAAATTTGAATCTTGTCTGTGTTAATTAAACTTTTGAACTCACGCTTTTCCGTGGAAATCTCATTATTCTTTCCATGAATTAATTATCACTGTCAGCTGAATTACCGAATCGGGCAGGATAACAGTGAGTTAATTAAATGAAAATGTGATTGTCTTTGGTAATCGTGGCGATAAAAAGGAGCGTTCGACAAATCATCTGCTTTATCAGCAATAAATTTTCGATTCTTTCATATCGTGCCAATAATTTATCCCCCCCCCCACAAGTGCGCAAGTACTTGGGCTCGGGTATTCCACTATCCGCATAGGTCTGAGTCCTCTTTTTCGACGATTCCAGGGGATCGAGTGAGACAGCCTGTGGAGGAGCTCACTGAGAAATTTATCTGAAGGATAAAAATGTCTCTTATTGTTTGAGAGTTTATACGCTGAGGGCACTGGGATTTCAATAAAAATTCTACCCGTTTCTCTCTTAGAATTTACTCTATCATTCGGCAACTTTAAAGTACGAGTTTAAAGTCACGGTAAAGTTGGGTCATGGGATTTCATGAGGTGTCGGTCGACTTTCCCAAAATCGGTGAGCATTAATAACAATTCAAATACGCAATTTATTCCGTTTATAATATCTTTGAAATATTTTACGAAACGATTAACTGAAAAAATCAGATCTTCCATTTTTTTTATATTGGAAATAAATAATAAATGATTAAAATGTTATCAAAATCATTAAAAATCAATGGAATTACGCGGTACTGACTGACTGAGTGTTTTAAAAACCTCGAAATATCAACTAGCACTCGTGAAAAAACCCGAACGAGATGCTTTTCCACTGAAAATCTTTCACTCTCGCAATACGACACAATAATAATAATGTATCGAGCACGTGATCGTTTGATGTCTCTCTCACCTCGATCGCGAGGTACTCTGAACTAGAATTTATAGGGCGTTAAACCAACGCGCGACTGAACAACCCCTTGGACCATCGCTCCTAGGGCAACTACTGCCCACTGGCCTCCATGAATGGTACACTATATACCACCAACTTCCACCCAACGATCCGATGCAATTGCACCCTATATACTCCCATTTTCTCCGGTCTCACGGTAATACTCATGCACTTCATACTCTACTTTTGCTGCACCATTCATGGATAAATATTGTACAAATGGAATTGGAAAAACGTTCGTTTTTTTTCTTTATTTTTGAAATTACATTTACTTTGGTTGTGAAATAAAAAATTCCATTATACCCTTCAATTTCAACGTTCGCCATTTTTTTTTTATTTGCTTTTCATTATTCACAATCCATGATGGGAGCTGTATAACAATTCCCTGGTCGAGTGATACTCTGGGACTTGAAAACACGCGCGATTCGATTTTATGACTCCGGAAATTGGAATGATTGCCTTGAATTTATCATTTCGATCATTTTAAGGGTCATTTTTGGGATTTTACGAGCGCGAGTTTATGTCATGTCGATTGGTTTTCGGTTATGGGATGTATTTTTAGTCCTTGGGGTAATGACTCTGGGGATTGGGGTTATTTCAAGAAAGATTTTTACGATCTCGTGGCTTTAAAAATCGATGAAATAAACGGATTTGCTTGAATAATTGCATTTACTTTGCGATAATTTGTCAGTAATAATCGTATTTTCAATTTTTCTTCTTACAAAAAAATATAGAAAAACGATGTTTCATGTTTTAAAATAAATACATAAAATTGATTAATAAAAAAAAATGGCTTCAAAGATTTACGGATACTCAAAGGATAATAAAAATCGGTTCAAAAATTGTAAAGTCAAATCCCTCAAAACATCACTTGGCACTCGCCGAAAAATCCGGAATTTTCACTCTGACTAATCCTTATAGCGAGAGTTTCCACTCCTCGGAAAATAAAAGCCAATTTATCCCCCGAAATGGAAAACGCAAACAGACCGAAATACTTCAATCTCCCACTTCGTCAATAATGCACGTCCAACACATACAGTTAGAAATTCATGGAATCATGAGACACCACAGCACCATGAAAACAAATTCCATCACAGCTCACTGAATAATCAATGGAAAACGCGAACGCGACGAAAATTAAGTAATTGACATTGATATTCCTGGGGTGCGACACACAGAGCGAAAAGTCAACCAAAAATTCCATGAAAAATCGGGAAAAATTGAACAGTTCGAGAGGTAATCCCCAACCAAAATAGAATTCAATGAAAAATTATTTATCGCATCTATTTCATCACTCATTTATATTCATAAATGAAAGATTATCCTCATTAATTCCCCCAAAATTTCAATACACTCCATAAAAAAACTGAATTATTCCGTAATGCATTGAGACAAGAATAAATATTAATACGTCGTGGATACATAACCTCCATAAATATCTTAATTGAAATTAAATTGAGAGATTTACTGGTTACCAGTGCAAATCGATTGACCCCTTCCCCACCCCCTCATCGAGAGTTGTAAATCGCCATTTGGTGTACGTGACATCCATAGGTGAAATGGTGGGAAGACGGGGGGGTGGAAATAAGGTGCGGGAATGCCGGGAGATAATGATGAACCAACTAGCCCCAGTGACCAGAATTACCCCCCACTGACCATATTGCGGTGTATATATTTATGTGGGCGATGGGTTTTCCTGGGTGGTAGAGGCACTATTACAGTGAACCAAGTGGGTTCGATGCACGTCCACTGGGGGCAACTCCCTGCCTGGAAAACGGAGATAGAGAGAACGCTCGGAGTGTGAGTGGAATGTTTCAGACTCCATTACTTGAATTGGATTGGGAATACAGCCTGGTCCCTGACCATCCTCCCCTCATATTTTCGACAAACACTACCACCACCCCCATTCAACCCCCAAAATATCCCAAATTTTCCCGTACAGTAGTCCGCATCGTAACTCAAATGAGGTAAACGCACACCAGCGTCACTTGAATTTTCCCGGGTAGATGAACATATATCAACTTCTGGTTATTACGGTTATCAGAGTTTATGGGGGTCCCACCCACCCTTAATTCACGGTTCTAATATTCCAAAAATGGGGAAAGAATAATAATTATTGTTATAATTATGATTTCAAGAAACTCTTGTTGAGAGAGGATTGAAAATGGTGAATTTTATTATAAATTTTTCGGGGTGAAGCCCCGAACTTAAATGAGATGCATGTGGTCGGGTTGGATTACATCTTCCGGAGTAGAACGTATCTCAACTTCCTGAGACTACGGGTTATTAGGATTATCAGTGTTTATGGGGTCGGAGGTGTAGGACGTCTTGATTTGGCTTCTTCGTCGTTTGAAACCATTAGTTTCAGGAGGTATAGGTTTACTACAACTTTGATGTTGAAGCTTCGCCAACCGTGAAGAAGAAATTCGGTCTTTGAAGTCTTTTGAGAGTCTTCTAGAGTTCATCTCAACCGTTCCCTCGTACGTTCATCGATTCATTCATTTTTATCGATAAAATGATAACTGAACACTAATTCACCGTTGAAAATATCGACTGATAGTAGATAGATTGATTAGAAAAAAATCCATTTGAAATTTCCGCTTCGAATCAATAATTAAGAAAAAAAATAATAAATTAAACTTCATTTTCCCTCTGAATTTACGCTCGAAAATTTTACAATTCCTCCAATTTTTGATTAATTAATTTTCGAGTAGTCTAGTCAGATTCTCGTTCGATTTTCATCGGTTTTTAATTAATTCCTTCACTCTGCACGAATGGAAGTGATTCGAGTCAGAACTGCCTCGATCAAAATGTGAAATGAAACCCGAGGTTCGCCCATCGAGATTTTCCACCGCAGATGAAGTCTCGGATCACCTCTCTTTTTGACATATTGAAATTCTCGGAAAGCTACCCAAAATTAAATTCATTCCTGCAACAACGTGTAAAAATAAACGGAGCCGCTTGCACATGCGATAGAAGTCTCCAAAGGGTAAATATTGCCGGTGCTTTTCCCTTTTATGACTTTTATGTCTTCGAGTTCTCTCTCTCTCTTTTTTTCAATCCCGTTCATTTTCGAGGCATCCGTAGAATCGATTGGTGAAGCATCTGCTACCGATAGTGCCTTGGAGCGTCGATTCTGTTCCACTTGCCGTTTCACGAATAGATATACGTCATCCACACAGACTTACACAGTCTATTCACGATAACTTCCGACAGCTGCACCCAATGGCCAAATGCGTACATCCGAGTGGAC